TATGCAAGACGAGCTTGTTCAGTTCGAGAGAAATCAAGTTTGGACACTCGTACCTCTGCCAGCCGGGAAGCTCGCTATTGGCACCAAGTGGATTTTTAGAAACAAGAAAGATGAGCAAGGGGTGGTGGTAAGAAACAAGGCCAGACTCGTTGCGAAGGGTTATTGCCAAGAAGAGGGAATTGACTACGAAGAAACCTTTGCCCCTGTAGCAAGACTGGAAGCTATTCGTATCTTCTTAGCCTTWGCTGCTCACAGAGGGTTTAAAGTTTTTCAGATAGATGTCAAGTCAGCCTTCCTCAACGTCAAGCTCAAGGAAGAAGTTTATGTCAAACAACCCTCAGGGTTTGAAAGTGACAAGTATCCCAACCATGTTTACTTCCTGGACAAAGCTCTGTATCGTCTCAAACAGGCTCCTAGAGCATGGTATGATCACCTGTCATACTTTCTTACTTCAAATGGGTTTCACAGAGGTACAACTGATATCACTTTATTTTATAGAAAAATGAATGATGATATTCTGCTTGTACAAATCTATGTTGACGACATAATTTTTGGAGCAACTAACATTTCAATGTGCAAAGAGTTTGAAGTTCTGATGCAGAATGAGTTTGAGATGAGCATGATGGGAGAGCTCACCTTCTTCTTAGGTCTACAGGTCAAGCAATTAGCCGATGGCATTTTCATCAATCAATCAAAATACGTGCATGACCTTTTGAAGAAGTACAGAATGCAAGAAGCCTCTCCAACTTACAAACCACCCTCAATCAACTTACAGCCATCATACTAGCCCAAATACCCCAACCACCACCTCCACCACCCAGCCCTGCAGCACCATCGTTCGATGAAGCATTATCCTCCTTTGCTGCAGAGATTAGAGCCATGATCACCAACCTTCCCATCCCACCCACCGCATCCACCTCTACCTCCATACCTCCCCCAGCCTCCTCATCCACCACCTCTGAGTATGCCACAAGAGTCGACCTCAGGGATCTATCCAAGGCACTTATATCCTCTTTCAACGAGATAAGTGCTAAATTCATTCATCGAGTGGCTCAACCGACCAAGGCTCTCTCCCAGAGCCTTGCTGACCAACAAGAACGCACCGCCTCCCTCCTACAATCTATGGAGGTCAATCAAAGAAGAAAGTCTATGAGAGCCTACCTGGCCTCCCTCCGCCTCAAGAAGAAGAGAAGCAGAGCTTCATGCTCGGCCAGCTGCCCGGAGAAGAGGCCAAGGCATGAGGATTCAGACCAAGCTGATCATGGTATTGGTCCTCATGAGGGGGAGAACCCGACTGCTACAACTCAGGAAGCACCATCCGCTACACCTTCAACATCCGCTCACCAAATACAAAACACACCATCATCACCAAACCAAGGAACCCGTTCAAGGGAACCGGAGGCTCAGCCCTCTGAAGATGTACATAATGTACACGTTCCCCTTGCTATCGTACCTGAACCTATCGTGTTGAGTTCCTCATCCGATGAAAATCCATCAACCCCACCAACAAAAACCAACCCACCTTTTACTACATCACAAACATCAAGCTTACCATTAACCCCATCACCAACCCCTCGCACCACAGAACCGTTCATCATCATACCCAATGAACCTAAACAAACAAACATCCAACCCTCCTCACCTCAACAACCTCAAGCCCAAACACAACCCAATGAACCTGAATCACCCCAACATGAGCCAACCCAAGAAACCATCCCATCGCCAACCGATACACAACCCATAACCCAWACTCAACCCTCAACCGATACACAACCCATAACCCAAACTCAACCCTCAACCGAACCAACTATGGTGCATGCAGACATTCCCTCTTCATCAAGGCACCCTCCACAGAGCTTAGTCGACGAAATCATTGAGAATATGGAGTCGCTAAGGAGACGTTTGGAGATGCCACCAAGGGAACCAGTAATGATGGAGAATATCCATCAGTACCTATACTACGATCGTAATGAAAGTCTGACTCTCAATCCTCGAATTCTATCACCATAATCCATGGACTTCCTACACCATAGGTTTGTTAGACAGACTACCCAACCACCATAGGCTGTCTTTTCAAACGATGGAATAAGGATGGTAATGGACATAAAGATGAGGACCTTCGCTAATAGAGCTATAAAATATATCGAGTACACAGTGGAGAGAGCCCAAGGTCAGGTTTGCATCTTCAACAACAATGACTTGATTAATCTTAATCCCTATGACTTGATCGACCTTTATGCATTCACAACTCAGCCACAGGATCAAGGCATAAGATTTGGGATGGCAAACTGAGCAACTGTGAAGACGATGGAGACCTTGGTGAAACATCAAGCCAAGAGTGATTTTCAGATTGCTCTTCAATTGGTCATCGAAAGACTCTCCTGTACTCCACCTGATGAAGACTTCCCTGGCCTACAGGAGAAGAGATATGCTTCTGTCTTGACTCAACCCGAGCTTGGACTTGTCTTCAAGAATGAGTTCGGGGTAAAGAAATTTTTCAAACTAACTGAAGCATTCAAATATTCAACTGACACACTTGAATGGTTTCAGAAAGTTATCAGAGATAGACTGGGTAGAACCCATGTGCCAAGGGAAGACAGGAAACAACTCATTCATGAGATATCTACAGTCATCAGTTATCGAAGACTGCTAATGCGCTTCTGGGAAATATCTCAAGGTAGATCATGAATAGAGTTTTAAAATTTTTGCCTTAAACTAAAATGTCTTTGCTTCCAGTATTGTAAGAATTCATCATCCAATGAAAATTTAGAAATTGATGCTTTTCTTTAGATTAGTCTCTGTTATGTTCATAGATTAGTTTATGTTTGTTCTTTCATTACTTAGGGGGAGATTGTTAGACCCCATAATTCATAAGTGTAAAAGTAATAAAGAACAATAAGTGATGAAGAACCAGAGGACCGATGAAGACATTAAGGCAAATTTGACCAAGTCTGAAGAACAACCAGAAGACCGATCAATCGACCAGAGATGCGATGGAAAGAGCATCTTCATCACCCCTCTGGTCAACAACACTTAGAGTTTTCTCCAGCAGTTCAACCAGAGGCATACGATGAAGATATGAAGATAAGGTTAAATTAACATCCCATGGGAAACAGTTGGAGATAACAAATCGACAACTGGATTTCAAGTTTATCTTGATTTATAGCTTATCCATACTTTAGATAAACTTTCAGTTAGTAGAAGATTAACTAAATAGTCTCGCTAGATAGTTATCTTCTAATTAGCGTACTAGTATAAATAGGTGATTAGGCCTATTGTAATCAACGTCGTTTTTACATTTTCATTTAATATTGAATAAAGTGAAATTATTGGCACTTAAGATTGTTCTTTGAATGTTCATACATTGTTCTTGAGTGTTCATCATTTTGTTTATTAAAACACTATAATTTGGTTATTCTTAACTTGATTATTAGTGTTATTGAGAGATCTGGGTTCAACAATGTGTCCTAAGTTCTTTCTTCCTCGTCGGTTGTTCCTATGCGTACCAGGATTCGAGACACTTGTTCTAGTGTCTCGCATGTACGTCTGTACGCTCTCCTAATCTCCTTCATCTTCATATACGCCCAGAGCTTCTTTGGAATGGGCCTTTCTACTGTGTATCCCTCTTTGTTGACTGTTGGCCGGTATTGAGTAAGCACGTTCACTTTGTGCGTGGGTAGACGACCCACATCAATATTGTTGTCGTCAAGAGTAGGCCTTAGGAGAAGACCTAAGATGCACGGAAATAGCAGAGATGGTAATTGCCTCCCTTTGGACACTTCTTGACATTTCTTGGCCACAACAGCCTTGAACTCTGTGTAGAGTATCAAGGAGTAATCCAGAGATAGATCGAAGAAGATGCTGTATACGATTTGGAGTATGTTTGTGGAGCACATGTCGAGGCTCCCAATCTTCCCAGTCAGAGATCTGTTGACCAATGTGAAAAGAGTGTTCCACAATGGAGGTAAGTATTGACGACGGTACTGAGATGGGTACTTGATAGCCTTGTTGTACCCCAAAAATTTCAAGAAGGCCACGATCTCGTCCCCAGATGGGATAGGGGCGTACTCAGAAAGCCTTAGGTCTGTTTTCGTTGGGATTTCAAGAACACGCGAAAACATAGACCTAGATATGCGAACAGTGAGGAATTCCTTCGAGGATGAGACATAAAAATCACCAACGATTCCTTTTTGAGAGTCGGTAATAGCGCAAGATTGCCAGTATTCTTGGATATACCTTTCAGGTACAAGGTCATCCGTGTTTGTCAAAACAGGGTTTAGGAAGTGGTGTTGGAGGATGTTGAAGATTGGGTGGTATTTTAGGTCGAAGTTTTCAAGAGAGAGATGGAGGGCATGGTTATTAGGTTTGATTAGAAGAGAAACCAGGTTTTGACTGGTTTCCTCAACAGTTTTGTGGGTTGTGGTGTGTGTTTGGGAGTTTCCAGACTCGGAGGATGACATAGTTGTAGGTTTTGGGTGAAAAGGAAGGGTTTGAAGAAAAACGAAACTAGGTTTCAAGAATCGGATCTTGATTCTCAAAAAGGGTGAGGAAAGGGTTTATAGAACTTACTTGACGAACAGGATGAAGTTTTGATGACTGAATGGAGTTCCAAAGACTGGTTTGAGAGCTTGAAGGAGTGACAATGGCGGTTGGAAACTTGAAGACGACGACTGTTCTTGAATTTCTTTGTAAGCATAAAAAGTAATTTGGGGGTAAAAAATTGTTTAAATAGAAAAAAAAAGCACTTGAGTATCTAGCCCCCCAAACGTCTGGTTAAACTGAAATGATTTTTACACAGCCTGTAGGGGAGCGCCACATGGACTACCAGCTGCAAGTGGCGCCTCCCACGTTTGAAAAGATAAGCTCACAAGCGGTGATGCTTAGTTTAAATGACAGCTAATAAAAAATAAAAATAAAAAGAACCGTACGCCTTCTTAATAAAATAATATATTTTGAATTTCAATTTTTTTAACAATTGTAAATACTTTGGTTTGTGTAAAATAAAGGTTTTGATAAGAATCAGAGTACTACATGCAGAGAAAGACAACATACCTTAGGAACTCATACAGAGACTCGTGATTGGACTATACATGTCCTCTGAAGAAAACTTGCTATGTTTAGACGCAGAGGCTCTGTATAGTACATACAGAGGCTCTGTCTTGTAATCATAAGAAGTTTTGAAGCAGAGGCTCTGTATAGTACATACAGAGGCTCTGTGTGACATGATCTTGCACTCCCCCTCGATTTGAGCTCTGTTTATCTACTCCCCCTTGAACTATGCTTGGATCATATTTGATAAGTATTGCACAAGCATAAGAGCTAAGGTACAGAGGCTCTGTATGTACTATACAGAGGCTCTATATCACACGATAATTAGGACTTGAGTAAGAGTCTCTGCATGTACAATGCAGAGGCTCTGTCTCATGGATCAATACAATAAACAACAAAACAGAAGTATGCATAAGGGATGTAGAGGCTCTGTATAGTACATACAGAGGCTCTGGCTTAGTTAAAAAGATTTAGCATACCCAACTTGCTAACCAGAAAGTTAAACCTCTTTTCATCAAGAGCTTTTGTAAATATGTCAGCAAGTTGTTAATCTGTACTAACAAAAAATATTTCAATCGTACATTTCTCTACATGGTCCTTGATGAAATGATATCGAACATCGATGTTCTTTGTTTTTGAGTGTTGCATGGGATTGAATGTGATTGCGATAGCACTTTCTAAGTCACACAAAATTGTAATCTTCTCAAACTCTACGCCATAGTCTTTCAGTTGAGTCTTCATCCATATCACTTGGGAATAGCAACTGCTACAGCTACATACTCTGCTTCAGCTGTGGAAGTAGAGACGCAATTTTGCTTCTTCGAGGTCCAGC